CACATCATACCCTGTTATGCCTCCATATCCTTCCATCTCCTATTCCCTGCTGCTTTTACGCCATCTGTATGGAGAATTCCTAGTCATTCTTTAGGACTATTCAGATGAGATTGGGCACGTTCAGGGTGGTGTGGCCATAAACCTATAGGACTATTCAAATGTGATCTTTGCTTTTAGGGCTTTCCAGTCTCTTGCAGGCAGACCTGGGACTTCCCTGCTGTCTCCTATAGTGTATATCCCTCCATTGCTTGTAAGAACACTGTTACTGGTATTTGGGGTCAGGACTTGGTTTTCATCCCCAATACCTAACACATTGTAGTTCAATCATCTTTGCTAAATTAGCCTACCCTTTCACCTGACCTTCCATAATGCAATGGCATAGCTCTTCTTTCTGCCTCAATACCAGTTCCTTGAACTGTATTCTTTGGAACTCTGGTGATTCTACAGAAGAGTTGTATATTATAGAAGTAGGCTTTAGATAGCTATGTGAAATGTATGTTTGCTTTTACTGTAGGTTTAGGAGAGAAGTCCATTTCTTCTTTTCCCAAATAATCCTCTTATCTTTTAGTTCCATAATGATTCTCAAGTGCAAGCAAGTTCTGTGAAAGAAATAAATCACCTAAACCACCTAAAATTGGAAATTTCTATTTGTTTTCACCATAATCTAAAGAACACCACCAACAACAAAAGCAAGTCATATGTATATATGACTAAAACTCCAACGTAATTACCACCAAATTTACTTTTACTCAAACCCACCCCACTTAACCTGGATTATTGCCAATGAAATAGAACAAATTTTGTCCATTACCTTATTGTTTTTATTTACATTAATTAACAGATTGACATTGGCTCTGTTATTTTAAACAGTTTGACTTAGAGAAAAGTAACCGTTACAAGGGAAGGTTTTGGGAAATAGTCCCTGAAGAAACAGACCACCAATTAAGGCCCAATCAGGAACACAGGAAGCATACTATAGTACTGAGGGAATTTAATAATAGGGTATTGTTACACAGGGGTTTGGAGGGAGTCTCCACACCAAAAAGAGGAACACTGAGGTAATCCAGCAATGTAAACTATAAGGAGCCATTATCATCTTTAGAGTGGGGTAAACAAAGAGAAAAGTTTGGGTTATTAGAGCTCAGAAGCTCAGAGGTTAGGGTCCCTGCTGAGTGAGGGCTCAAACCTCTGAGAAGTGGGCACAGCCTGGCCAGTGCTGGTACCTCTGCGGAGATAGGAGGAGTCTGGTTCTTAGAATGTAAAAGTGGGAGGCTGGAGCCAACTGCTGTTGACAATGGAAAGGGCTGTTACTGCTGATGGGATTCTGGTAGGAAGCAGGAAGCAAACAGAAAGGATCAAGTCTCGGGACGCCTGGGTGGCTCAGTTGGTTAAGCGACTGCCTTCGGCTCAGGTCATGATCCTGGAGTCCCGGGATGGAGTCCCGCATCGGGCTCCCTGTTCGGCAGGGAGTCTGCTTCTCCCTCTGACCTTCCTCCGTCTCATGCTCTCTGTCTCTCATGCTCTCTCTCTCAAATAAATAAATAAAATCATTAAAAAAAAAAAAAAAAAAAAAAAAAGGATCAAGTCTCTTTGCCGCTACTCCTGCCTTCCACCATCCCTCCAGGGACTTCTATTGATAGAACCCACCAGGAAGCCAGCTGGTAAAGGAAAGAGAGTTTGCAGAGCCCCAAACCCAGTATTACAAACGTGGAGTGTGGAAATGTCAATATGGATTAGAGAGAGGAGAGCTTAATAAACAGCACTAGGAGTAATTAGAGTGTTGTTTTTTTTTTAATTATTTGAGAGAGAGAGAGAGAGAGAAAAAGAGAGAACAAGCAGGGGGTGGGGGAGGGGAAGAGGGAGAAGTAGACTCCTTGCTGAGCAGGGAGCCCAACACAGGGCTCAATCCCAGGACCCTGGGATCATGACTTGAGCCGAAGGCAGACGTTTAACCAACTGAGCCACCCAGGTCCCCCTAAATAGAAAGTCTTAAGCAATGGTCAGCTAATCATCTTCCAGCTTAAATAACTCAATATGATCATATGCTCAAGGCCTTAAAAAATTAATAAATTAATATTCTTCTGTTGACTTCATGATTAGACACACACTTGAGTATGCTATGTCACTATAGTTATCATTTAGTCATCCGGTCTGGGACTTACATGGCAGATGCTGTTCTGGGCGGTTGGGTTTCAACAGTGAAAAAATAGATAGGTCCCCGCCCACCCTCATGGAACTTTCATTCTAGTGAAGGGAAAACAGACAATAAATAAAAACATAACGTGTCAGATGGTGAGTACAATTAATAAAGCCAAGTCAAGGGGGATAGGAATTGGGGGTAGGGGAGCTCTTTATATGGGGTGGTGATATAAGACCTCAATAATAGAGTGAAACTTGAGCAAAGATCCAAAGGAAATATGAGGGAGAAATCAGTATGAATATATAGGGGGAATCTTTTTAGTAGAAAATGGTTGCATTTGATAAATGTGAGACTGGTGAAGATTTTGCAAGTGGGTGGACTTTTTTGTGGGTTTGCAGTTTGATTTTAACTATTTGCATACTTCTGCTTTAGAAGACTGTGATTCTAGTAGAGTGACATCAACTTATTATCAAATATAGTACCAAGTTCAAACATTCCACAAAGCATTGCTCATCTCTTCCACTGAGGGGAAAGCTATACTTCTTCACGCAGCAGGTTATAAAAAATTCGCTGATGGTAAGGGGAATGAGCTGAGTACATAATGGCCCACCTTCACTATAAAGTACTTTCTTTGTTTCAGAGTCAGCTATGAAATTATTATAATAGTCTCAAACCTTTAATTTGGATTATTTGAGTAAATGTAAAATGCCCAGTACTGTACATAATTACTTCTTTGTTAAGATGTCAACCTTTGTTTTTTAGTTAAGAGTTAATGAACCTCGATAATTAGCCAACAGTCTTTGAGGCAGAAAGTGGGATGGACACCATCAGTACTCTTAACCCAAAACAATGAAATCACTGTTGGCAGTAGGATCTGTTGCCTTTTGTTCAGATAATTTTCTTCTTGGAAAATACATGCATATTTTGGATTTAATGGTGCCAGAAATATTAATAAGTTAGCTATAATTATTCCTGAACCCGTTTGTCACTCAAACAATAAAAGTGAACTTATCTATAAAGTTAGACAACTAAAATGGTATAAAACACAGTAATACTTTCATGATAAAGGTTTTTTTTTTTAAGTCAACAGTAATTCTGGCCCTTGAAAGAAAATGAACTGTATCATATAAAAATCTCATTCTGTAGCTAGTAATACTTTCCAACAGGAAGGCTTGGGGTGAGTATGTCTTCATTTGAGAACAATGTAATTTAAGACTGGACACTTAGAAAGTAGAAATTTGAGTTACCTCAGCAAATTTGTTTTTAACGTTAAAAGGAATCTTGGGAGGTCAGTGGTGCCCAGTGGAAGGCAAGAACTTGGATCAGGCAGGAAAACCACCCACATGTGGCTTGTAGTATTTTCAATTAACCTCTCTGCCTAGGTTCCTCTCCTTGTCAGGTGGGAATAATAGTAATTGCTACCTTCCATGGGAAGTAAGCCTGTGCTTTGACATCTCTGGCCAAAGATGCTATATCAACACAAATGATTAATATTAGGACATAATGCATGTATGCACATAAAACACCAGCATAGTGCTCTTTTAATGCTTATATAATATCCATAAATACTGCTCTTCCATGCTCTCTCTTCACTTTAGGTCAGAGAAGAATAATCATAGCATGTCACTAATCCAATTTCTCAAAATATGGAGGAAATACATTTTTTAAAGCTCCATATCATCCTTTTGAGAAGCACTAAACCTGCTAATCCCTCCTGGTCTCTGTAGCAATTGCACAATGGCCCCCCATATTAAGCCTTTGGCACCTTTTCAAATGTTAGCTAAATTACTTTTTCTGGAAACTGGAACCATCAGGGGAAGGCCAGGGGAATGAAACTGGCTAGCGATATTAAAATTTTGGTTGTTTAATATTTAACTGGCTCTCAACAACGTGTTGAAGTGCTATCTAAACAGATAATTAGCTAGTCGCTGCACAGTGGGCTTTATCTAAATTTAGCAGTGAAATTAGGTTTAGAGAATGAGAAAATAGGAAAAGAAATTTTCTCAAGGGAAACGGTGGTGTCAGCACAGCTGAGGAATGTCACAATAGCTACATTTCGTCCATTATGACCATCATCAGGGGATCTCCGGGAGAGACGCAGGACAAGGTTTATTCATAAGTGCATCCTGAGGATAGGCGATGGAAAAGAGTGGCCGCAGGAGACAGGCTGGATGAGAGACAGAGATAGAAAGAGAGAAAAAGAAAAACAGAGGATGGAGGAAGAGAGGTACTAAGCCGAGCGCTGGGAGACAGGATGGGAGGCGAAAGTTGAGAAAGAAAAAAGAGCGGTAGGCAGGGGTAGAATGGTGTGTAGCTTTGGAGGTGAGAAAAACACTGTAAACCAGGGCTGGGGGGGGGGGGAGCCTAGTGATGGAAGGGGTGTGATCTTGGCGGCAGGCAAGCATTAGTTTAGCTGCGACAGGCGGCTAAATCCTTGTTCGACTTCCCTTCTTATTGGGAGCACATTTCTGGCTATCTGGTGGAGATGCCAGGACCTACATAAAATTGTGTCCGGACTGAGGACGTGTGTCCTCTGCCTCCAGTCCCTCTCGGGACAGTCCAAACTGTCCTCCGCCCCTGCAGAACCGCAAGTGGCTGTGGCTTCAAGGTCAGGCCACCAGGGCTGTGGGTGGCGCGCGGATGAAGAGGGCAGGGCGCGTAGCCACCCGGGGTGAGGGAGGGTCGTGGTGGATCCCAGACCTCTTACGGGCAAATGCTTAACACTTCCCGAGGTTGCTTTACCGCGACCAGTTCAGAGGAAAACAGGCAATGAAAATAAAATTACACGTGCGAACATGCAAATGAAACAAAACCAAAGAAAAACACCACCGCACTCGAGGCGCTCCGATGGGGGAAATCCATGGCCTCCTGTTACCAGTTGCCCGGCGAGGACAGCGGACAGCTCGGCGGCCGGAGAAGCAAGGGCGAAAAAGCAAACCTTCTGGGGCCCCTCTTCTCGCCTGCCTCCGCTGACCCTTCCACCAAGCCGCCCTCCCAAGAGAAAGGAGCAAGAAAAATGCCTGTGCAAACAAGCCTCGGAGGGCTGGGGGAAGTGGAGCTGGAAAGAAGGGAGGAATTCGGAAAGCGCCGCTGTCCCGGGAAGCAGGAAGGAGAAAGTCTCTCCTTTCAGCCCCCGGAGTCCCCGGCGAAGAGGGAGATGACTGGTTCTGCAGGCTATGTACAGCCTCCTAGACAGGGACCCTTAGCGTGGGCAACGGAAGGGCAGCCCCATCCTGCGTTCCCCTCCTAACTCCCCCCCCTCCTGTCCCGGCTCCCCGCCAGAGGGAGAGCGTGGTCCGGGCGAGGCGAGCAGCCAGCACGATTCTCCCGCCGCCCTCCGCCTCCGTCTGCGCCCGGGCCGCGGTGGACTCGCGAGGGGCGGAGTGGGCGAGACCATTGGAAACGTTGGGAAGGGGGGAACGAGGCGGGGACGAGGCAGGACCAAGGGGCGGGGCCTACTAACCTATTCCAGATTTTCCTGTCCTTTTGAAAGCCCTGCTTTGGGAGAAACCCGTTATCAAAGTGGAGAGAAGAGATTTTTTTTTTTTGAAGTGGGAGGAGCGTGTGTAGGAGGGCGGGGTGGGAGGAGACGCTGCATGCAGTCCGCGATCAGACGGGAGCTGGAGTTGTGCGGGGAGGGCGGGCGAGTCCCAGCGCCGGCTCTGAGGGTCGGCTTCCTCTCCCCCTCCCGTGCGGGGCGGGGTGGTGCGTTCCGAGTTCCCAGGAGTTCGAGGCGGGCGGGTGCCTGGGGGAGGGGAGTGGCGGCGGCGGCGGGCGGCTCCCGCCTCAGCCTCGGCAGTGGCGTCGGCGACGGCGGAGTCGAGGCAGCCGTGAGCGCTCCGCTCAGTGTCAGCCGGCGGCGACGGCTCAAGAACTGGGAGTTGGGGACCCGTGCGCCGGACCTTCCGCCGTCGCCGCCG